AGGGGAGATGTTTGCAAGTCAGGTACCCAGTAGTGACTAGTGGACAGAATACACTAAGGCCTCCTAAAACCCAACAGCAGCGAGAAGACCCAGACAGCCCAGTTCAAAAGTGGGTGAAGAGTGTGAGTGGACGTTTTTCCTAAGAGGACTTCCCTTGGCCATTAAGCACCCGTCCTGTGCTCAGCACCACTTATTGTCCGGGAATGGAAATCACCCCACAAGCATTAGCCCTTCCCAGTCCTTTCTCCTGGAGCCTGAGCAGAAGCTGAAGTCTGCCCTCATCTTTAGGGAGCCTGTGGTTCCTGGGAGGAGTGGGGCTTCCATCTCTGTGCCTCTGCGCCAGGACACGCCCTCCCAAGGACAGGTTTGAACTTCAGCATGACTGTAATCAGGGGGAGTTCACTTGCGGGGTTTCTGTTTCCCCTGGCATACAGGGTGATCCCCTCACAGTGAGTGCCCTGAACGCAGGTTCCCCCTGTGCTGGCCAGGGACGGGGAGCGCCAAAGCTCCTGTTAGGACTGGGAACAAAGTCTCCACCAAGCCAGTAAGCTGCTCCTCCTAGCTTTACCACCCTTTTGTGTAACCAAAGGAGGTGCTGGGGGCAGAGACCAAATTCTACTCGTGCACTCCTAGCTGTGGCGTCAGCGATGCCTTTCACACCCTGCTCTGGAGAGCCTCGGCCGCGTGTGGGAAAGCTAGCTGGACACTGCCAGTTGCCGAAAGTTCCCTGCAGTTACCGGAGGAGCGCTGTGCCGGCCCGGCAGAGAACGCGCAGGCGTGCCCCGCACACTGCGGCGCTGGGGCCCAGTCCACTGTGCAGTGCAGCCGTGGTTCCGCATCCTCGGTCACGCGTGCATCTCCTTGGGCCTTTAGTGATCTGTTGAAAGGTTCAGGGCCGGCAGCCTGCACCGTGCTAAGTTCTAACAGCCTGGGGACCGCGCCCAGCACGGGGCGCTGGTGAGCCAAGAGCAGCAAACGAGAGGGAAGGGCTCGGCTGCCTGTGCAAGCAGTCCTGGCCGGCCGGGCGCGGACAGGCGGGTCCCGGAAGCCCCGCGTCTGCGTCCAGTTCTCGCTCCCCCTGGAGCCGACGCGACTCTGTTCTGACTTCCATTAGGTGCTCTAATGGCTGGATGGGATTGGCAGTTTGAAGTGTTTTTGCTGAGTATCGGTTGTGGTCTACATCTTTTCTTCAGCTTTTCTGATACCAGATGATTAGAAAAGCCTCATTCTTCCAGCATTGCTCAGCCAGTGGTTTGCAAACTGTGGGTTGAAGCATTATTCAGAGGTTGCCAAATTGGCCTCGCAGATCTCAGCCATCGTCTTTGAGTGGAGTGGTGTGGGGCATGCCAGTGTTTGTCTCACCTGGGGAAAACCATCAACAAGGGAAAGTTTCCAGTGTTCCGCATGCAGACCCATCCTGAGGGCTTCAAGGGCAAGGTCAGCGTGGAGTGAGGATGTGCCGTGAGACAGTGGGTGCTGGGCTCAGGGAGAGGAGACAGAAAGACGCTTTCTTGTCAAAGCTGGCCTCAGAGCGCCCCGGGTCAGCCGCCTGCCCGTGCCCTGGCCCTCCGCGGGTGTGCAGCTGCCCACAGGGCACCGCAGCTCCGGAGCCCAGGGCCTGCGTTTTCCGCTGGCTGCCTCGCGTGGCGTTGGCCTTGCGGGATTTACTGAACTCCTTTCTGGGGGGAGCAGTTCCAGTATCCTGTGGTTGTGAGGAGGGGTTTTTACTGTCCACACTAGCTGCTTAGTCTAGCCATGCCTTGGGTTCAGTAAGCCCCTTAAGTGTCATTGCCATTAACATTGTCTTGAAAATGACAGGAAATCCTATTATAAATTTATTATAAGATTGAATATAAAATGAGATTTGACTATTACTTGAATAACATGCAAATTCTTTATATTGTTTGCCTAACATGCAGCCCACCCTGTACATCCATCTCACACATGGGGCCCGTTCCAGCTGGAGTCGTGTCCTGGGCCAGGGTTCTTAATCTTGTCAGCCCCATACCCCTTTGCCAGCCTGTGAGGGCATGTCTACATCATGTAGTTTGCCTGTAACCATCATTTCAAACAGTAATACAATGCCCCAGTGTCCTAAAATGGAAAAGGAGAAAGACAGCTCTGCTAAAAGATGCGTTTCCTGGGTAACACGTGTGCGTGATTACGCTGAACAGCCTGATGAGGGCACCAGTGTTTGTGCTCTTGTGTGTGTAGACTCACCATGGAGCTGTGAAGTTCCAAGCAAAATGAGGTCGCCTTCCCTTGACCCTGTATGCAGCTGTCTTCCTGGGGAACCCCGAATCCAAGCATCCCTTGGTCTGTGAGGGGGCGGGCTCCAGGACTCCACAGGGCATCAGGATCTGTGGACGCCGCAGTCCCTCCTGTCAGGTGGCGAGGTGTTTGCGTAGAGCCTGCACTTTGCCTCTGTGGGCTTGAAACCGTCTCCAGGTTACTTGCGATACTGGATACGTGTGACTATGGTACAAATTGTTTAGGAGGTGACAAGCAGAGGCCTGTACCCATTCAGCACAGACACAGTGTTTTACCAGAGTATTTCCAGTTGGTGGTTGGCGGGCTGCACAGATAGGGAGGGCCACGCAAAGTCGCTGTGCTCGAGTGTCAAGTGGAATTGGCTTCTAGGCTTGGGCAGCTCTGAGCGGGGTTTTCACCTGCACGCGTGTCCAGTGGGACATGTGGGCGTCAGTACTGGTCTCCGACATGCGGGATCATGAGGATGCCATACAGTTGCAAAGCCCCCAGAGGTGGGGGTGTGGGCGAGGGGCTGGGGCCGGGGAGTGGGGGCAGCCTCCAGGTTGTGCTGAGGCAGCTCTGCACGTCCCGGGAGACTGTGTGGATTGTAGCCCGTCTTCCTGCCTGCAGAGATGAGGTTCTTAGTTCTGATTCGGGCTTCCTCTTATTCCCCACAAAACTCCACTGAGGGGCAGTGACCGAGGAAGGAAGCGCCAGCCGATGGGGCCCCTGCCCGGGAGGCATCGTCCACAGGAGGGGGCTCAGCGCAGGGCACAAGGCTCACCTGTCTCTGGTGCCTCCTCACTGGGGAGGTGCCACGTTCAAGTTCATTCTTGGTGTGTGTGGTGAGGTGCGTTGGCTTTGAGACCATTTCTGTGTTGATGGGGAGAACACCCAGAGGACCCCAGGATGTGTGGATCAGTGATGGAGCAGGCGGTGTGCACGCTGTTTCTTCCCAAGCCGCGTCTGCGTGCCCACCCCGGGAGTTGTTTGATGGCAGGAGCCCCGAGACGCGGGGGAGGTGGGCGGGTTTAGCCTGCAGGTCTCAGAAGGAGAAAGTAAGGGGTGTGGTTATAGATGTCATCTTGAAAGATGATGTGGGAGGAAACCGCGTCCCTCTGCCATCGCTGCTCTCGTCTGTTCTAAGCTGGCTGGCCGGAGGCGCCGTGAGCTGGCTGAGCTCTCGGATTTGCCGTGATAACTCACGCCAGCCACTGGCTTCCACAGTGAGGGCTGCTCTGTAAGCCCCGGCTCCCTGCTTCAGGGGCCCGGTGCCCTTCAAGGAGACTGCCCTGGAAAACTGCTGTAACAAGCCCCAGAGGAGAAGCATCCAGCTCGGTGTTAGGGACTTGAAGGACCACTTGCGTAAGGCCGCTAGGAAGCATGCGGATCAGCCAGCGCGAAACCTCCCGGCAATCGGACCAGCAAACAAGTGCTGTTTTACTTCCCAGACGTTACTGGTCACACCATGTTTGCTTTCTTTTTCTCTTTCTTTTTTCTAAAGATTTATTTATTTATTTGAAAGGCAGAGCTGTGGGCAGAAAAGGAGAAAGGTCTTCCCTCCGCTGGTTCACTCTCCAGGTGGTCACAACGGCCTGGGCTGGGCCAGGTGGGGCCGGAAGCAAGGAGCTTCCTCCAGGTCTCCCGCGTGGCTGTGGCTGTGGCTGTGGCTGTGGCTGTGGCTGTGGGTGCAGGGGCCCAAGGACTTGTGCGATCTTCCACTGCTTTCCCAGGCACATTAGCAGGGAAGTGGATCAGAAGTGGAGCAGCCGGGACTGGAACCAGCACCCATACTGGACGCTGGTGTTGCAGGTGGCAGCTGTACCCATAGGCCACAGTGCCGGCCCCGGCCGTGTTGGCAGTCCTTCTAAGTCTTAGCTGTTTTGGTTTTGCTTTTCCCTGCTGTTTTTCTGTTTTTAGTTTCATTTCTTTTACCTGTATTATTTCCTTCCTTTTGTTTGCTTTGAGTTCATTTTGCTGATCTCCTCTTTCTTAGTTTCTTACGGTTGAAACTCAGGCTGTCTGAAAGCTTTCTCCTTTGCTGATGGAAACATCGAGTGCAGTGTTTCCTGTACAGCACCGTTCTAACTGCACTGCAGTCCTGATTGTTGTTTTCATTCTCAGTTAGTTAAAGGTGTTTTCTAAGATTCTTTAAGTCTCACTCTGTAACCCACTGGTTATTTCGGAGGGTGTTGTTTAATTCCTAAGTGCTTTGAGATTTTCCTAACTGACTTTTTGATACCAGTTTCTAGCTTAATTACCTTGTGGTTTGGAAATACACTCTGTGTAATCTCAGTCCTTTAGTTTGTTTTATGACTAATGACATGGGCTGGCTGGTGAGCGCCTGGTTGTTTGGATGCTGGGTTTGCTCTTCAAGACCTCCTGTGAGGGACTGGCTGTGGCGTAGTGGGTAAAGCTCTAGCCTGTGGTGCTGGAATCCCACTGGGACGCTGGTTCAAGTCCCAGCTGCTCCTCTTCCGATCCAGCTCTCTGCTATGACCTGGAAAAACAGTGGAAGATGGCCCAAGTCCTTCGGCCCCTGCACCCATGTGGGAGACCTGGAAAAAGCTCCTGGCTCCTGGCTTCAGATCGGCACAGCTCCTGCCGTTGCTGCCACTTGGGGAGTGAACCAGGGGATGGAAGACCTCTCCCTTTCTCTCTTTCTCTAACTCTGCCTTTCAAATAAAGGATTGTTAAACAAACAGCCTCCTGGGAGATGGTTCCTGACCACCCTTGTTTCCTTTGTCTAGGAAATCCAGGATGTGAGGAGCGAGGATGAGGACGAGGAGGAAGAGGAAGAGGAAAAAGAGGAAGAGGCTTCCAAAAGCAAGGAGAGAGACTCTCTGAAGAATGGCCTTGGGGCCAACAGGCATCTGGTTCCGAATGGCCAGCACGGCCGCTAGCCCGCAGCCCACGTGCTGGCCCTGCACAGGTGCTGCGAGGACTGTGGTGGCCCGGAGCCCCGACCGAGACCCCGGGTTCTGCCCTCCCCCTTCCCAACCTGCCTGAGATGTGTGTAGCAATGTTCACTTGTGTTAGGAAAATGTTACATGGAAGCATGCCTGTGGGTGCCCATGGGTGCCCACGGGTGTTCGCGCAGACTGCTCAGGGCTTCACGGGTCTCTCCAGGGCCGTCCTGGCTGTGGTCACCTTCCGGAGCTCACCTCGCGGGGCGCCCTGTCACCACACGCCTTGCACAGTCCGACAAGTGCTGACTAAACCCACAAGCACGGCTCTTCCCCCAGAAAGGAGCTGCAGGTGGCGTGGGACAGCGGCAGAGGTCCACACCAGGGGATGGTTTTCAGGGTGCTTCACCCCCACAGTGCAGGCTAGAGGCCTGGGGCCGGGCTCCGATGGGATAGCAGAAGCCCAAGTGCTTGCTGTGCTGCCCCCAGCCTGGTTGTGCTGGGGCCCAGCCAGGTCTGGGGGGAGGGAGCCCTGAGCAGAGGCCAGCGCCTGGTGACGTCAAGAGATGCCAGTACCTGGAGGCGCTCTCCATTTTATGCCGTTGCTGTTCCTGTCGGCCCCCAAGGAGCTGTGGCCCCTCTTCCTCGGCTTTCCTGGCGCCTCGCTCTGGTCCTCCCTAAGAGGGCCACATCCCTGCTGCTGTGCCCCTCCCGGGGGGCCCCCAGGTGGCTCCCTGAGCCCCATCATCCAGGGGCCTGCCCTGCGTATCCAGACCCCCCCAGCAACCCTGGCAGCAGCGAGGACTCGGGGCGGGCGTGAGGGCTGGGGTCAGCTGCTGGCTCCCCCTCCCCGCCAGGGCGGGGGCCATGGGGGACACTTGAACACAGCTCTGGCCCCTTCTGGCCTTGCCCCGGCACGGTTCCTCGCCTGTAGAGGAGGAATGGATGGCGCAGCGTCTGCCCACGCCCACTGCAGCCGTGCAGAGTTTGGGGTCAGGTTTTGTATTTTTGCTCCTTTGCTGAGAAGCCTGAGTTGGATGCAAGCCTGTGGGAGGTGAGCCCCCAGACTGGAGAGCCTGCCCCGCCCCGGAGGCTGCAGGGCCTTGGAGCAGGGCAGGCCCTGTGCACAGCAAAAGAGGCTGAGGTTCTGGTTTTTGTTTTTAATAAAAACATGTTTTTAAACCTTGAGGCCAAACAGAAAAACAAATGAAAACCCTTTTCAGATCCTTTCCCAGTGAACTATCTTTCTGAGGAGTTTTCGGGGAGAGAAAAGCAGCCACCAGGTTTTCCCCGCAGAACGCACACTGCATGAGGACGGCACCAGACGCGGGATCGCGGCACACAGTGTCAAGTTCACGCGGCGCGGCCGTTGAGTTGTTGTTGGCATTGTATCCTTGTTACATAGAAGGTCACTCCAAGGCATTTATTTTGTGTTTCTAGTTAGACTGTTTCTTCCCTACACTTCCTTTGGTCTTGTCTGCACCACAGACCTTGTCTCCGTGAGCTGCGGTGTGTCTGCTTCTCTGTCTTCCAGCTGTCACTGTCATTTGAATGTCAAAGGTGAAGCCCACGTTGCAGTTCCAGCGTCTCCGCTGCTGCCGGACGCGCTCAGCTGCTCCCCGAGAGCGGGGTCTGCGTCTTTGTAGCATCCTTGAGGGCTCGTGTGGTTCGCCGTGAAGGGATTCTCTCGTTCCGCAGGAAACAAGGGCTCAGGCCTGTGCCAGGAGTTCAGGAGAAAGCAAGCCACAGTGCCTCCCTGTCATTGGAATGGCAAGGACTTAGAATAAAACTGAAATGGAATCCAGCACCCAGAGTGTCCGACTGATCAGTGCACGCTGCCTCCTGGGAGACGACGCGGGCCTCCCAGGGTAGCACAGGCCGGGTGTCAGGTGTGGGTGTTCGGGTGCTGGCCTTGTGCACCAGGGGCCAGGTGGGAAGTGCGGGCCCTGGCCAGCTCGCCCAGGCCTGCCAGGCGGGAGCCTCTCACTGTACACGGTGGGGACGGCACCCGGGCCTGCGTGGGACCCTGGAGGTCGTGGGAAAGGGCAGGCTCTCGGGCCCGCTGGTCTCAGCCATAGCTTCCGTGTCTCCACTGCCAGGCTGCAGGAGGAAGGCCGACATAGGGCCCCTGGCGGCCATCAGCGTGACCCGGGGAGCCCCGCTCACCGCCTCCCTCACTGCCTTGGTGCCCCCCGGGGGCAGAAACGGAAGAGTGTTGGATTTCTACCTGGTAGCTAAGAACTGCACACATGGACGGGGCTTCCTGCAGTGCCCGGTCCCCCGTGCTTCGGGCACTGTTCAGCCTGAGTCCTGACACTCATGAACCCTTTTTGGCGGAAACGTTCAACATACTCTCGTCCAGCTTTAAGAACACGTGAAACACATCTGACGTCACGTACTCCCCTCCGTGTGACGCTGCCACCATCGAGCCCCCCTGCAGAGCACCAGCATGTCTCTGTCCTCAGCGGAGCCCCCTCCCCCACGCTGCCCTCCCAGCCTCCTGTCCCTGGGCTCAGCTCCTATAAGAGCAGCACTTTCAGATTCTACACGGCTCCTGTGGCCCTCCGCCCGGCTGATGGCGTCCACCGTAAGGACCTCCGTCTGGTCTCAGGTGACCGGATTCCATCCTGTTTCCATGGCTGGGTAGTCAGGTTTTCTCCATGTGTTCATCAGTTGACGGACACCTACGTTGCTTGTGTTTCCCGCCTGGTGTGAGCCATGGGAGTGCCCACGGCCTCTGTATAACCACGCAGTGTGGACCTGCTGGGTCATGGGGGGTCTGTGTTTCATCCCCGAGGGCCTCCCTGCTGCGTCCCCCAGCCGTGTGTGAGGGTCCCTGCCAGCCTTCCTAACAGCAGCCGTAACCCGAGGGAGGCGATGGCTCCCATAGTTGTATTTGATCAGTCTTGTTGAGCATTTTTTTTTTTTCATAGCTGTTCGTCATTTGTATGTCTTCCTTTGAAAAACGCCTGTTCAGGTCTACTGCCCATTTCTAAATTGGATTACTTGGGCCTGTGCTGTTGAGTGAAGAACCTTATATATTCTTGTTACTGGCCTTTTGTCAGATGTATTCTTATTTTTTTTTTAACAGGCAGAGTTAGACAGTGAGAGAGACAGAGAGAAAGGTCTTCCTTCCATTGGTTCACCCCCCAGATGGCTGCTGCGGCCGGCACTGTGCTGATCCGAAGCCAGGAGCCAGGTGCTTCTCCTGGTCTTCCATGCAGGTGCAGGGCCCAAGCACTTGGGCCATCCTCCACTGCACTCCCGGGCCACAGCAGAGAGCTGGCCTCAAAGAGGGGCAACCGGGACAGAATCCGGTGCCCTGACTGGGACTAGAACCTGGTGTGCCGGCGCCGCAGGCAGAGGATTAGCCTAGTGAGCTGCGGCGCCGGCCCAGATGTATTCTTTGTGAGCACCCTCTCCCATTCTGTAGTTTGTCTCTTCAATCTATCGATGGTTTCCTTTGCTATGCAGAAACTTTTCGGCTTGATGAAATCCCCTAAGTGTGTTTTCCCTTATATTTCCTCTGGTTTCGTGGCCTGATCCATGACGTCCGGAACAATCTCCCCGTTTTCTTGTCATACGTCCAAGGTCCAGTCGGATAGCTAGATCTCCCCTGCAGTTTGAGTCGACGTGTGTGGGGCGAGAGAGGCTCTGCATGTGGACATCCAGGGCCCGGCGCCGTGTTGGCAGCACCTGCTCCTGCAGATTTGTCGGCTGCAGGTGCCTGGGCGTGGGCCCGGCTGTCTCCGGGGTTTGCTGCCTTCTCGTATCTTGGTACTGGTCTGCATCTCTCTCTTCATCCAAAGCCTTGTCCTGAGCACATCGGTAGGGCAGGCGTGGTGGTGAATCCTCTCAGCTTTTGTGTGGCGCTGTCTCATCTGAAGGATCACTTGACTGTGTGGTGCGTCTTTGGTTGTGAGAACCCTCATCCCACGGTGCTGGCCTGGAAGGAGGCCGCTGAGAGTCTGCAGCCGGGCACACCGGGCCCCACTGCTCCTGGTCTCCCGCAGCTGTGAGAACCCTCTCTCTCTCTCTCAGAGCTGGAGTGTCATGTGGCCTGGGGTAGAGCTGACCGAGCTGATTCTGACGGGACTCTGTGTCTGGATGCCGCACACTTCCCTAGGGTGGGGGTTTCTGTTACCCAGCTGAATCTGCTTTGTTCCCTCGCCCCTCTCAGGGCCTGCTGGAACCCCTGGAAGCGCCCAGATATTCCCAGTGCTGCCCCGAAGGTCCCATCGTCTTTCCTCATTCCTTTTCGTAGTTTCTCCATTTCTGCCCTTTGTGTTTTCTCACATAGCTGTGTCTTCGAGATCACCAATTCTCTCTGATCCACTCTGCTGTCAGTACCACTTACCACTCTAAATTTTGCCTACTGCACTTTCAGGGATTTTTGTGTTTCTTTAAGGTTGGCTTATTTATTTGAGAAGTAGAGTTACAGACAGAGAGAGGGAGAGAGAGAGAGAAAGCTCTTCCATCCACTGGTTCACTCCTCATATGGCCTCAATGGCTGGAACTGAGCTGATGGGAATCCAGGAGCTTCTTCCAGGTCTCTCACGTGGGTGCAGGGGCCCAAGGACCTGGGCCATCTTCTACTGCTTTCCCAGGCCACAGCAGAGAGCTGGATCGGAAGAGGAGCAGCCGGGACATGGACTGGCACCTGTATGGGATGCAGGTGCTGCAGGCTGAGGCTTAGCCTATGCCACAGCCCTGGCCCCTCTGTTTGATTTTTAAAAATCACTTCATCCCTCCGTTAAGTGTCTCTGTTGGATTAGTGAAGTATTTCTCTGTGTTTTCCTGAATGTCCTTGAGTTTCCTTAATACATCTATTTTGATGTCTGCATTTGCAGTCGCTCTCTGATTGGTTGGTTCCGGACACCTTATTTTGTTCGTTAGGTGAGGTCATGGGCCCCCAAAGTCCTCAGTGCCTGTTGGCATATGATGTCATTTTGTACACTGACGGATGAGGAATATTTTCTTTTTTTTTTTTTTGAGAAATACATCATGTTTTTATTGTGATATAAATACATTTAGAGGATAAGCAAATCTTGATATCTTTTATCCTGATTAGATGTCAATAGATTAAAAGCTAAAATTCTGTATCATTGGATTCATTATTTTTAAAGTGTATTTTTCTTTTTTTCCTTTGATACATATTTCGTTTAAGTTATACAAGTTTCGTATATTTCCTTTATACCGTTATAGGAACATAGTGGCACGTCCCCCCCACCCTTCCTCCCCTCCCTGTCCTATTGGATGAGGAATATTTTCCAGGCTTCTTAATCTAGTTTGTGGCTGCCTTCCGGAAATCTGAGGACACTTCCACGATTTGAGCACAAGGTGGCGCACCGAGTCCAGGCTAGAGCGAGCCCGCTGTGGCTGCGTTGTTGCTGTTTCAACACTAGAGGGCGCCGCCCTCCCGGGCGCGCTCCGAGTCTCTGCGGCTCCGGGCTCAGGACGCACCGCGGAGGCCCCGGACGCGGGCCTGTGGGCGGCCTCGTGCGCGCGTCACCGCAGCAGACCCGGGGCGCGGGCCGGTGCTGACTCCCAGGCCGCTGCCCAGGGCTGGGGACTCCCTGCGTGGTCCTCCGGGGTGGCGGGAGCGGGTGGAGGCCGCTCCTCGGCCGCCGGGCTCAGCAGGCGCGCAGGGCCTTAGGGCGGGCGCCGGCGCAGGTTCGAGTCCGGCTTGGCTTCGGTGCCCTGCCCTCCGCGCAATCTCGGCTCGGGATTCGCTCTCTGGCGCGGGGCGTCCCTGTGGGCCGGTGGTGTCCTTGTGAGGGGCCCGCCCGCGGCTCGGCGCATTACGAGATGCGAACGGGTGAGCAGGTGCCGACCCACGGGGAGCAGGTGCCGACCCACGGGGAGCAGGTGCGGGGAGCAGGTGCCGACCCACGGGGAGCAGGTGCCGACCCGCGAGGAGCAGGTGCCGACCCACGGGGAGCAGGTGCCGACCCGCGGGGAGCAGGTGCTGACCCGCGAGGAGCAGGTGCCGACCCACGGGGAGCAGGTGCCGACCCGCGAGGAGCAGGTGCCGACCCACGGGGAGCAGGTGCGCCTGGCAGCATCAGATAGGTGGGGAGGGAGTGGAGGGAGAGAGTGCCCTGCCGTGGTGAGAGGGCCGAGCCGCCCCGACACGGAACGCAGACCCGTGTAGGCCTGGTAAGACGGAAGTGAAGGAGTCACAAGTCCCTGCTCTGTGTGAGTGGTGTTAGCACATCTCTCGGAATCTGATAGAACAGGCAGAGGAGAGGGAATCAGTAAAATCTGGATTTAAATGATGAAGTCAACGAGACCGGCCCGCTGCACACACACAGAAGACCCAACGATTGCAGAGGAACCGTGTTTTTCAGCGCACGTGAACTTTGACCCCCACAGACCTGTGAGGTGCTTCAGAGACCCCAAACGGTGACGAGGCCTCGAATCAGGTGTGGTCCCTGCCCTGGCGAGTTCACTAGGAATCTGGAGCAGGCAAATCGAAGTCCCCACGTTCAGCAAAGCCTCAGTAACCTGCAGAGCATAGAAGTCAGAATGGAAACAAAACATTCGAAACTCAGTTACCATAAAAATATAGTAAAAAACATTAAATGCTTTCATAATAAAGAAGGCTGGCAAAACTCGGTGCTCAAAAAGCATGAAGGAAAATTAAGGAAATAGTGAATGCATACAGGACAGTATTGCGTAGTCAAAAGCTGATTCTTTAGGAGAATTTATAAAATTCTAGGAAGGTTTGTCAAGAAAGACACAGACAAGCAGTATCAGAAATGAAAAGATCTGTCTCCATGAGCAAGCAGAAGTTACACGGATA